TCTATGGAAGTGATGGTATTTTAAATGTTTATTTTTTTTAATGTTTATTTATTTTTGAGAGACAGAGACAGTGTGAGTGAGAAAGGGGAAGAGAGAGGGAGACACAGAATCTGAAGCAGGCTCCAGGCTCCAAGCTGTCAACACAGAGCCTGACACGAGGCTCGAACCTCGAGATTAGGACCTAAGCCCAAGTCGGCGCATAACCAACTGAGCCACCCAGGCGCCCCGGAAGTGACAGTATTTTAAACTTCCATGCTCACCTGCCCTGGAGACACCTTGCTTTCAATGGTTGTCATTCTACACAAATGTGCTTGGAGCAAGGATGGAACAAAGGATGATGCAGGGAAATGAGCTGCAAATAGCCTCCCAGAATGAAACCGTTTTGAACAAAAATGTTAGGGATTTGAATTTGGTGGTGTCGAAAAATACAAGTCCAAAAGGGGGCATTACAGAACTGCTTGCCCACAGTTGGGATAGTTCGCTATTGTGGTTCCACACACCCAACCGCGGTGATCTGTGCATGTGTGTTTTTCCCCTGCTAGACTAAGTCTGAATTCAGGACAGCAAGTGTGTCACCAGTGTCCAGAGAAGTGGCTGGCTCACAGCAGGATTCCAACGTGACTCAGTGAACATGTGAACGAATGCACAAATAGCTCTGAGGATCCGGTCTTTTAGAATGTAGAAATTATGCAGTAAAACCTTGGATTGCGGGTAACTTGTTCCGTAAGTGTTCTGCAAGACGAGAAAATAATTCTACTAAATTTTGAGAAACAAATGATGTCTTGCAATACAAGTAGTACGTGATACCAAGTGTCACATGATCACAAATGAGCCAATGGTTCTTGATATATGAGTGCTTTGGTTTAGAAGCCTGTTTACAGAACGAATTATGCTCGCAAACCAAGGTTTTACTGTAAATGTGATTTAGATGCCATCCTTTCAAAATTCCTCCAGAGTAGGACATACACATTTGTTCCATCACTTAAAGCATTTATTTATTTTTATTTTTTTAAGTTTATTTTCTTAGTAGTCTCTATACCCAACATAGGGCTTGAACCCATGACCCCAAGATCAAGAGTCTGATGCTCTTCTGACTGAGCCATCCAGGCGCCCCAAAGCATTTTAATTTTTAGTCGAGTTTCCAATGTCAGAAAAGAACGGTACTTTCCCATGATAGTATGATGATTGAGGTAAACTGATCAGATAAATGAAAGGCACTCTCATTTTTCCTTAAAGAGTAACAGCTGTTATTTCCGAGCCCACAAAGAAAATAAGAAGTTGGCCTGCATTTCCTCCTGCAACTCAGTCTCTCGGACTAAACTTGGGATCTGTCCTTTCTAGGCACCAAGAGAAAACGATGCCACCACTCCACTCCAATCAGACCGCCTTCCCCAAGCAGGTGTAGGTGTGACAGTGGTCAGTCCCGACCTTCCCCTTAGTCCCCTGCAGAACTTTCCTCGCTCTGCAGGCCACGTGGTGCCTTGTTGTCCCCAGTTTCAGCACACACCCTTCGGGCTGCGAGGCAAGGCAGGATGTGAACACGAGGCTGCCTGCCCCTCTTTGCTACCAAGTGTGTCCCCCCGTCTCCCATGCTGGGTCTTGTAAGAGGACGAGTTAAGCATCCTGCCAAAGAGAATTGTCCATGATTTATTGTTGCTGATAGTGTCCTTTATGTATTTTCCACATCATCTGAAGACTTGCCGAATGAAATGACCTCAGACATCGTTTAATAAAATCTTCTAATTAAAAAAATTTTTTAATGTTTATTTATTTTTGAGAGAGAGCGTGAGTGGGGGAAGGGCAGAGAGCGAGGGAGACAGAATCTGAAGCAGGCTCCAGGCTCTGAGCTGTCAGCACAGAGCCCGACACGGGGCTTGAACCCACAAACCCTGAGATCATGACTTGAGCTGAAGTCGGACGCTTAACCGACTGAGCCACCCAGGCGCCCCTAAAATCTTTTAATTTAAAAACTGACCTGGGGGGCCTTGATGGCTCACTTAATGTCCGACTCTTGATTTCTGACTCTAATGTCCGACTCATGGTTCGTGAGATCGAGCCCTGCGTTGGGCTCTGTGCTCTCAGCCCAGAGCCTGCTTGGGATTCTCTCTCTCTCTCTCTCTCTCTCTCTCTGCCTTTCCCCTGCTCTCTCTCTCAAGGTAAATAAATAAACATTAAAAAATAATAAGAAAATAAAAACTGAAAATTATCAAAGCCCATGGTCTACATTAGAGTTCACTCTTGGTGTTGTACACTGTATCGATTTGGACAAATTAGAACACACATCCACCATTAAGATGTATTTTCACTTTCCTTAAAACCCCTGGGCTCCACTTCTTCACTGCTCCCCTCCCAACCCCTGGCAACCAATGATCTTTTGTCTCCACAGTTTGGTGATAACATACCAGTGTATTCCATCAATTACAACAAATGCACCACTCTGGTGGGGATGTTGATAATGGGGGAGGCTACTTATGTGGGGGAGCAGGGGGGAGATGGGCTATTTCTACACCTTCTTCTCAGTTTTTTTGTGAACATAGGATTGCCCTAAAAAAAAAAAAGTCTTTTAAAAGAATAACAAAGTTGAGGGGCGCTCGGGTGGCTCGGTCGGTTAAGCGGCCGACTTCGGCTCAGGTCGTGATCTCGCAGTCCGTGAGTTCAAGCCCCGCATCAGGCTCTGTGCTGACAGCTCAGAGCCTGGAGCCTGTTTCAGATTCTGTGTCTCCCTCTCTCTGACCCTCCCCCGTTCATGCTCTGTCTCTCTCTGTCTCAAATATAAATAAATGTTAAAAAAAATTAAAAAAAAAAGAATAACAAAGTTGAGACTTTGAGAGGTTAAATGGACCAAGGTCACAAAGATGGTTCACAGCAGACCATCATTAGAACCCAGAGGGATCTTATGTTGCAAGCTTTATGCATCACACATTAGGCTACCTGGCATCTGGTAATAACATAAAAAACTCATAAAATAGTGTGCATACATGGTGTGCTATTTCTTTTCTTTAAAAAAATTTTTTAATGTTCATTTATTTTTGAAAGAGACAGAGAGTGAGCGTGAGTGGGGGAGGGGCAGAGAGAGAGGGAGATACAGAACCCAAAGCAGGCTCCAGACTCTGAGCTGTCGGCACAGAGCCCGAGGCGGGGTTGGAACCCAAGAATTGTGAGATCGTGACCTGAGCCGAAGTCAGACGCTTAACCAACTGAGTCACCCAGGCACCCCCATGGTGTGTTATTTCTTAGAAATACACGTGAGAAATAGAGTTGGGGGACCCCCCCCCCAAGTCCAGTTTAATCAGCAGCTCACGTGAGTGGCAGAGAAGTGAGGGTCTATCCTAAAGTGTACATCCCGGGTGTGTTTTCACCACCTGAAACAACCCCCCCCACACACACACATGCCAGCACTTCCATACTTTTGCTGGTGCTGTGCTCTGTGCCTGGCGGCCCTTCTCCTTCATCCCCAGCTCCTAGCTCCCCAACCCCCAGAAGCAAAGCAGTCATTCAGCTCTCTTCCAGGCTTTCTCTGGGCAGAAGGGATCCCCCTCTGGCACTTCTCAACCTCGAGTGCTTTGCAAATGACTCCATTAGAGAATGTGTAAGCCTGACGGTTACTCACTAGCCCCCAGTCAAACTGTGAGCATCATCACAGTAGGGTGGGTCTCCATCATCTTTGTATTTCCAGAAACCAACTCCATGATGGGGTATAGTTTATAAGCTCCAAAAACTGTAGAGAGGATACAGACTTTATTTCTAGGGTGCAGTGTGAGACTACAAAACACTATAAAACAAAAATACATAACAGCTACAATGAAGCAGCTGACAGAATATATCGAATATTACAGATTTAAAAGTTCTGATAGGGCACAAACTATGTATCACTAAGACGTAAAAACATTTTCCCCTTTACTTTAGAAAAAATGCCAATAGGATTGTAATTTTTCATCGTTCTGAAACTTAGTAAGCATTTGGGTTAGTCATAATAATAATGGGGAATCATTTGTTTTAAAAACAGAAAACCACATGAAATATACAAAGTATATAAAGAACGGCTTGGTCCTGACTCATGGGGGCTCAATGGGAGTAATTTTGGATGGTTTTAAGGCCATTGGTTATGAGAAGAATAGAAGGCACAGGTTAAATATAAACCTGAAAAGGAAATCTAATAGTTTTAGATTTTAATTACATATGATCAAAGCAAAAAAAACAAAGTCAGGCAAATAGTTAAAGCTTATAGTCTTTGTGCCTCAGTCCCAAAAATTACATTAACTTGTACCAAAGCAAACAACTGTACAATAAAGAACTTTGCAGTTTCAAATAACCAATTTTTAAATTCAAGATTTAAAGAGATAAAATGAATGTTAGTATACTGAACAAAGATGATAAGGCTGTTTTTTCCTAGCACGTAAACACTGTACAATGATGGATTATTACAACTAAAAAGTTTTAGATGAAAAATTTTCTCTTTTTCAAGTATCTTTTGCTCCACTTTATAGGTTCCTGTTTTTCCCTAAACATGAACAGGACATTCAATTTGTTTATATATTTTGCTTTATAAGCAATTGATACAAATGTAAATATACATATACCTAAAAAGTGGTTATCCTATGATATGACAGCCCAGAATTTAGTAATTGTATAGGCTTTCTGGTGATTTTAATTATTCATAAAAAGAATGATAGAGAAGACACATTTGTTATTTATTCTAATTAAAGCATATGAATTACAGTACAGTTTTGAAAGTTTGCTATTTTTAAAATCTTCATTTCTTTAATTCAGGAAATGCCCAGGCTTAACCTTTTAATAGGAATTAAATTTAATTGGTTTCTTGGGTTTGGCCATCTTTTCTTTATTCGTCTTAAAGGTAAAAAAATAGAACAATGAGGAATGTAGGCCTATTAAAAAAATATAAATACTTAGAGCGACCATTTAAATCATTTGGTCCTCAAAAATATTGCTTAATTAATCACCGGTAGCTTGATTGTAATTACGCCCATGGCTGATATATTTCACTCTGCCTTTGGTTGCAGGTTGTACTTTTGTGGCTGGAAAAAATGTTCCTCAATAGCACTGACTAGTTCATTGAGTTCCTTCTTCAGCTGCTCAGGGTCACTGGAAGATAAGAGGGGAAATTCCAGGTCAGTGGATTATTCCAAAGCATATTTTAAGTTCTCCCTGCATTGGCCAAGGAACACTGAAATTTAACCTTAAGAGGAAGGCTAAATCAGACAAAACAGAACTCCAGTGACTTAAGCATGGGAATGTATCTGTTGACTTGGAAAAAAAAAAAAACAAAAAAAAAAAACCCATGAGACAATATCCATTATTTCCCCCAAAGGCTTTCCCAAGGTCTCTACTAGAAATAAAATCGCCCCTTTGCATTTCTTACAAGAATTTTTAAGAAGCACAGTTTTTGCCTTAGCATCCCTGTAGGATCTGCAAACTTTGTACCTAATAGTGCAAAGAAAACTTTATAACTTCAATTGTCATTCAATCCTGTTAAACTTTTACCAATGACCCCTCTGTTAAGTCCTCCGTCTCCCAGGATAGGAACGTTCCCGATGCAGTTTGTCTTCAGAATATTGGAAGCTAAGCAGCAGAGAATGGGAGGCTCGCAGTGGGCCTGCTAATCAGACACCAGGCACTCAGTTCCCCCAGCTTTTCTCCTTATTCTACCTCCAGGGTCACAACGAAGCATAAGCAAAAATCCAGGGAACTGGTTCCCTCTAAGGAAACCAAACTTTCAAGCATGTGGACAACACTCATTTACATGCAAACAATTGGAAGGCAGATCATGATAAAATGAATTTGTGATTAGACAGGTTTCCAGCAGCCCATGTTAGGGTCAGGCTCCTAGCACGGTGTGTTTACTGGAAGGACTTTAAACCAAAAAGCCGAATTAAAAAACCAAATCCTTCAATTCTAACTTACATGACTTCATAATCGACTGTCTTTAATATATGCAACTTTATCTAAACGGAAATGGCAATCCTTGTAATTAGCTAAGTTCATTTTTACACTGTGAGAGCTGCTCGGTACAACTAAAACAATCCATTTTATTGCAGACATGAATTCTGGCTCTACTACTAGCTGTATGGCCTTCTTAGCCTCTCAGAGGCCCAGATTTCTCATTTGTAAAATTGGGATAAAGACTTTATCTTCTCAAGAGAGTTGTTGTGTAGATTGAGATAAATTATATAAAGCAATTAGCACAGAACCTGGCCCAAAAACCTCAATAAATGTAGCTGTCATTAAAATTATTTTTACCCCTACTGGTAACATACAAGGTAATTATGCTTCATAAATACACATGAATCACATTGGTTGTTATTTCCTTCTCCACAAATGTGTTTTGAAGAAAACAACATTTCTCAGGAAGGCACACAACTAAACAACTACTGTTTTTTTTTTTTTTTAAACAATATACCTAAAATTAAACTCCCCAGTGAATACACAAACACAAATATATAAGTACAGTGTATATCTCCTACTGGTTTTGTTTCTCTGTTAGAAGCTTGCCTGATATAATTGTTACCTAAATTGTGATATTGCAATCCAGTATCCAAGGATTCCAAGTATCCAAGGATTCCAGTATCCAAGGATTCCAGTATCCAAGGAATTCCAAGAATTCCTTAGAACATCCTTAGAGCATCCTTGTTCAGTTGTACTAAGGTCTGCAGCTTATTTTCAAATGGCTCAGGAAAAACCCCTGCATATACAATACAGGTACAAAACCTGCATATACAATAATATATGTGAGAGAGAGCAAATATTGCAAAATGTTAGCGACTGTTTAGGTTAGAGTAGGCTAACTATGGCTGGCAGTCTGTTGACAGCCTGTTTTTATAAATAAAGATTTATTAGAACACAGTCACACCTATTCCTTTGTGTGTATTCCTTCTTTCTGCTTTTGAGCAACAGCAGAACTGAGTAGTTGCAACTATATGGCTTGTAAAATCTACAATATTTACTATCTGGCTCTTTACCGAAAGTTTGCCAACCCTTGGTCTAGGCAAAACGTATGTGGGCATTTGTTGAAAATTTCCAAAATAAAAAGTTGGACAAAAGACATCTACCGATCAAAAAATATTTTGATCAAAAAATATTTTAAGCAGGACTTAAACTTGAAAAGGATATTCCATTCTAAAGGATGAGTAGGTTATGGAATTCTATGAATAAATGAAGTTGATGATATAAAATACAGCGATAATATTAAGCTGATCAGACAGTAAGGAAACCTTAGCCATGGCTTTATTGCTCTTGTACGTTAGGTATGCTGGTAACTTGCTTGAGCCCTGATAGCATATCCGTGGACTGACCTAGTGCCCAATGTCCCAATTAGTAAATTAGAACAGCATCTTGATGAATATAATAAAAGGACAATTTTTCTAAGTGTCTTCAGGAATTTGTAAACTAATATTTGAATTTAAGTCCACCCAATAAGCCACGTAAAAAATGTAAAATACCAGATCCTTAAACATTAAATAGTATTGTTATTATAAAGTTTTCCAAATTATTATATCTTCACAGAGAAATGACAAGGAAGGAACTAATATATAGAGAAAATGGATCTTTAAGTTGGACTAATGTCCCTTTTTTTTTTTCAGAAGAAAGGCATAGAAATATGAAAACATTACGTGAGAATGAGAATTACAAAGAAATGTCTGGAAAAACTCATACCCAATAGAGTAGCAAACAGCTTACTATTTAACACACATAGAAGCAGTGATACTTGCACAATATTACAATCAAAAGTTGGTAATACAGAATGCTTAGAAAATGGGAAGCTTTATGTGTTTGTTCAAGCTGCTTACTAGCTGAGTTTTTGCCCTTTCAGCACAAAAAGGTTTTGAATGGGAATTTGTAGCAAAATATAGGACACAGCCCATGACTTTTTAAATATATTGGACTATCATGATATTTAAGAGCCATTATCATGACTTTAACTGTTGACCTGGGTCTCTTATTCAGAAGAAGATGCAGGGCCCATTTGGAAGTGGAATGCTATTTCCCTTACGATAAAGCAGTAAACATTCTGAGTTACCGTGTCCATGTTTTATGTTTTTGTTTTGTTTTAATGTTTCTTTCCTTGCTATCAGCAGTCATTTCTTCCTGTCCGAGGAAAGTCTAACACTAATAATTCTGCCCCCACCTCTCTAATTTGCTACATTTAATCTGCTACTGGCTGGCCAACTGAAGATGCTCAGAAAATTTCCTCTGCTTTTATTTCCACATAGTGCAAATTGGATTCACAAGATCAGAAAAACCCTGCAATGAGCAAGGCTTTGGTTGGGAAACATCAGATCCATGCTCCTGACTACAGTACTGAGCCCTGGAAATGTGACTAGTGGGACTGAAAACTGAATTTAAGTTTAATTAACTGACTTTCAAATTTAAAAGCTGAAATTTAGGGGCATCTGGGTGGCTCAATCAGTTGAGCATCTGACTTTGGCTTAGGTCATGATCTTGTGTTCATGGGTTTGAGCCCCGCATCGGGCTCTGTGCTGACAGCTCAGGGCCTGGAGCCTGCTTTGGATTCTGTGTCTCCCTCTCTCTCTGCCCTTCCCCCGCTCATGCTCTGTCTCTCTCTGTCTCTCAAAAAATAAAATAAAACATTAAAAAAAATAATAAGCTGCCATTTAATTCAATTATTGGAAAACTGAAGTATGTTTGGAACAACTTAGGTATCCAAATCTATTTTTTCAACGGTAAATTTTATGAACTCTTAATACATTTGACCCTTCAACAGCCTGGGATTTAGGGCATTAGTGACCCCCCCCATGCAGTCAAAAATCCATGGATAACTTTTTACACCCCAAAAAGTTCACTATTAATAGCCTCCTTTTGACTGGAAACCATACCATAACATAGACAGTCAATTAACACATATTTTGTTTGTTACATGTATTCTTACAATACACTAAAAAAGTTATTAATAATAAGAGAAAATACATTTATAATATTATACTGTATTTATTTAAAAAATCCATATATTGGGGCATCTGGGTGGCTCAGTTGGTTGGGCGTCTGACTTCGGCTCAGGTCACGATCTCACGGTGCGTGGGTTCAAGCCCTGCGTCAGGCTCTGTGCTGACAGCTCAGAGCCTGGAGCCTGCTTTGAATTCTGTGTCTCCCTCTCTCTGCCCTTCCCTACTCACACTCTGTCTCTCTGTGTCTCTCAAAAAATAAACATTGAAAAAAAAATTTTTTTAAATTCCACATATAAGTGGACCTTCATAGTTCAAGCCTGTGTTGTTCAAGGGTCAATTGTATGGAACAAGTGTTCCTTAAAAAAATCAAGCATTTAAAAATTTTTTTTTCAACGTTTTTTATTTATTTTTGGGACAGAGAGAGACAGAGCATGACCGGGGGGAGGGCCAGAGAGAGAGGGAGACACAGAATCGGAAACCAGGCTCCGCTATATCAGCCCAGAGCCCGACGCGGGGCTCGAACTCACAGACCGTGAGATCGTGACCTGGTTGAAGTCGGACACTTAACCGACTGCACCACCCAGGCGCCCCTAAAAACTCAAGCATTTTAATTGAGATACGTGGTGAATGTAAAATAGTAAATGGATCTTGAAAATGTGATAAAAAGTAAAATATCTCATTAATTTTATATAAATTATATATGGTATAATAACAATATTTTCATGTTAAGTAAAGTAGAATAAATTACTAAATTAATTTTACCTGTTTATTTTTACTATTTAACTTTTTAAAAAAATGTTTATTTTTGACAGCGAGAGAGACAGAGTGCAAATGGGGGAGGGGCAGGGAGAGAGGAAGACACAGAATCTGAAGCAGGCTCTAGGCTCTGAGCTGTCAGCACAGAGCCCGATGCAGGGCTTGAACTCATGGTTTGTGAGATCATGCTCTGAGCTGAAGTCAGACGCTCAATTCACTGAGCCACTCAGGCGCCCCTCTTTTCACTACTTAAAAATGTGTCTAGTAGAAAATTTCAAATTGCATTATGTGACTCACATTTTATTTCCATTGCACAGTACTGACTTAATTAGTCTTTAAACAATTTTTTCTGATTCTTTACTCCGAATGGAGAAGTGCTAGTTACCTGGGGGTTAAATGAGTGTGCAGAATCACATTTACACAAGCTAACTACATGCACCATGGTTGTTAAAGTTTAAGATGTTATGGTATTGCAAAGTAAACTCAAACCCTTTACCAAGGTCACAAAAACATGACCCTGAAGCTACCAGACCGTCAGCTTTTTGGAGGCAAGACTCTTTCTGCTATGGCTCTTTATCCTCCCCAGAACCCAGCACAGACTTATGCACAATAGATACTCAAAGATATTTGTTCAAGGCATGTACAATGGAATGTAAATTATTGGGGCGCCTGGGTGGCTCAGTCGGTTAAGCGGCCGACTTCGGCTCAGGTCATGATCTCTCGGTTCATGAATTCGAATTCCGTGTCGGGCTCTGTGCTGACAGCTCAGAGCCTGGAGCCTGCTTCGGGTTCCGTGTCTCCCCCTCTCTCTGCCACTCCCCCGCTCACACTCTGTCTCTCAAAGAGACATATATATTAAAAAAATGCTTTTTTAATTATTCTATCAGAGACAAGGAGAAAAAGAGAAAAACTCATTGGTGCTAGTCTCAAACTAAAGTATTAGAAAAAGGAAACTGTATTACTATTACTGAAATCTGGAATGAAATTTTCCCATACAAAGAAGGGTAGGACAGCAATAAGTAAGTAAAAATGAGCTCCTGTGTCCGTGGATGCTCCAAACAGCTGTTAATATCACAGTATTGCTGCAGGCTTTGAAACAACATTCCTAATTAAAGTACATAACACTGGCAAAGCAAAAGGTTTTACTTAGCACTTGTGCAGAACCAATTAGGAACTTTAGGGAACAGCAATCACACGTGCTGCCGTGGATATCATACCTGTTTCCAGGAGGGGCACACAGTTCCGAATAGTACTTGATCTTGGGTTCAGTCCCACTGGTCCGCATGGTGGCCACGCCCCCATTAGCAAAGGTAAAGGTGATCATTTGGCTGCTTTTGCTAGTAGGGAGAACCTAGGAATAAATTTACAATTTATACATTTAAATTATAACATGAACTGTTCTGGCTCAAATAATAGTTTCCCCCTGTATAGGCAAGAAAATAAATGCCAAGCAAATATACTGGTTTAAGAGAAAAGGATACTTTCGAGGAAATAAAAAAAAAATTCTTCTTCTGAATTAAATACTAAATAATAATAATCATAAAATGATTTGTGGAATTAAGTAACTTGTATACTTGCATTTTACCTCCCTAGTCTTGTTAATTAAAGCTACTGAAGTTTTTGGGTTTTTTTTTAAAGAATTTTATTTTATTTTTAAATGTTTATTTACTTATTTTGAGAGAGAGAGACAGAGAGTGAGCAGGGGAGGAGCAGAGAGAGAAGGAGACGGAGAATCTCAAGCAGGCTCTGCACTGACAGTATGGAGCCAGATGTGGGGCTTGATTTTACGAACTGTGGGATCATAACCTGAGCCGAAATCAAGAGTTGGATGCTTAACTGACTGAGCCACCCAGGTGCCCCTAAAGATTTTAAGTAATCTCTACACCCAATGTGGGGCTCGTATCTACAACCTAAGATCAAGAGTTCATGCTTTTCCAACTGAGCCAGCCAGGCACCCCAAAGCTACTAAAGTTTTACTAACATGGAAACATATCATTTCATGAGAAATTGATTTAAATAGATTGATAATATGTGACCAAAAAAACCCACAATAAACTAGACCTTATTTTACTTTGTAAAAAAAAAAAAAAAAGTTATATAAAGAGATCTTTTTAAATATAACATTTCTGGCAGATGTATTCATAGCTGATCGCTCCCCATACTCAGCTAAAATGATGGAAGTGTGTGTGTGAATATATAAAACACAAGGGCAAAGAGGAAAAGGAAAACAGTAGTTAATTAGGTTGCCAACGAATCCTGGGAGTTACAAAACAGATGAAGGGGCAGAATTGACCTGATGGAACACAGGACAATGACAGCTGAGCACCTGCAAGGAACAAACAAGACCCTGGTCAATGAGCTTTGCAGAACCCTGGCAAAGCTCACTACCTGGAGGCACCAGGCACTGTGAAAGGCAGGTGGGAAACAAAGAAAGGATGTGAAAAGACCTATCAGACCCTCCCAGATTCTCACCCTCTGCCCACACAGTCAGGCAACCACCTTAATAGGAGATGGCTTAATTCTCTGGTATAATTGAACAAGAAAGGCTCAGGAGTTGGGTACACCAGGCACTGGTGTAGAAGGGCAGGATATGGTGAAAACAGAGAGCAACTCAGAGTCAACAACCTGAATACCGGCCGTCCTCCCTCCAGACTCCCAGGCAACTCTCCACCGCTGTCACCCACCTTACAGCCTTTAGGCAAGAGATCAGGGTGAGAATTAGGCTTCCCCAGATAGGGAGCCCGCCGTGTAAAAGTTAACTTGGCACCCAATCTCCTGAGAGCAAAGTTTGTCAGTTGACAAGGTTTGCTCATGTACGTAGAACTTCTGATCGGTTTTTGAGTGCCCCCAAATAATGAGGGATTACCAGACTTTGGGAAAAGACAGCTTAAAGACAAAATCCAAAAAACCCAAATAATAATAAAAAAATAACTTGGGAGATATAAAGACAATACAGGAAAAAAAGTCTACATTTTAAAAAGTTATAATGCCTATACTTAAGAGAGATAAAATATTATATACATAAGCAAAATAAAACCATTGGGACTACACCTAAATAAAAAGCTTTTGCACAGCAAAGGAAACCATCAACAAAACAAAGAGGCAACCTACTGAATGAGAGAAGATATTTGCAAATGATATATCTGATAAGCAGTTTATATCGAACATGAATTAAGAACTTACAGAACACCAAAAAACAAGCATTAAAAATGGGCAGAGTACCTGAATAGACATTTTTTCAAAGACATAAAAATGGCCAACAAACACACGAAAAGATACTCAATATCACTGATCATCCGGAAAATGCAAATCAAAACTACAATGAGATATTACCTTACACCTTTAAGAATGGCTAAAATAAAAAAGAAATAACAAGTGTCAGCAAGGATGTGGAGAAAAAGGAATACTTGTTCATTAGTGGTAGGAAAGTTCATTGGTGCAGCCAATATAAAAAATAATATGGACATTCTTCAAAAAATTAAAAATAGAATTACCATATGATCCAATGATTCCACTACCGGGTATTTACCCAAAGAAAATGAAAGCACTAATTTGAAAAGATATACGCAGGGGCGCCTGGGTGGTTCAGTCGGTTAAGTGTCCGACTTCGGCTCAGGTCATGATCTCGCCATCCGTGAGTTCGAGCCCGCATTGGGCTCTGTGCTGATAGCTCAGAGCCTGGAGTCTGCTTCAGATTCTGTGTCTCCCTCTTTCTCTACTCCTCCCCCCACTCACGCTCTGTCTGTCTGTCTGTCTGTCTCAAAAATAAATAAAAATTAAAAAAAAGAAAAGATATATGCACCCCAATGTTTATTGCAGCATAAAAATTTTAAAAAAAGAAAAGATATATGCACCCCAATGTTTACTGCAGCATAAAAATTTAAAAAAAAGAAAAGATATATTCACCCCAATGTTTACTGCAGCATTATGTACGATAGCCAAGATATGGAAGCAGTCCAAGGGTGTATGTGTGTGGACACACACACACACACACACACACAGGAATATTATTCAGCCTTTAAAAAGAATGAGATGTTGGAGCACCTGCCTGGCTCAGTCAGTACAGCATGTGACTCTCGATCTCGGGGTTGTGAGTTTGAACCCGATGTTGGGTGTAGAGATTACTTGAGAAAAAAAAAAAAAAAAAAAAAAAAAAAAAAAAGAATGAGACCTTGTCATTTGCAACAACATGGATGGACAACATAGAGGGTATAATGTTAAGTGAATTAAGACAGACAAAGACAAATATTATATAATTTCACTCATATGGGGAATTTAAGGAACAAAACAATGAACTAAGAAAAAGAGAGACAACAACATCAGAAAATATATGCTCTTCACGTAGAGAATAAACTGGTGGTTGCCAGAAGGGAGGTGGGTGGGGGATGGATGAAACAGACAAAGGGGGTCACGAGTACATTTACTGTGATGACAGCCAAGTAATGTATAGAACTGTTGAATCATGACATTATTTAAAAAAAGGAAAAATATTATATACATAAAACAAGAATAGGATGTTATTTTTATTTTTAAAATATTTTTATTTAAGTTGGTTCCATACCCAACGTTCAAGAACTCACGACCCTGAGATCAAGAGTCGCATGCTCCACTAACTGAGTCAGCTGGAAGCCTCAGGGTGTTATTTTTAATAAGTTGGACAATAAGAGCTAAAATTGTGAACAGAAGCACTGAAAATTAATGTTGATGTAATCTCCCAAAAAGTAGGGCAAGAGGATATAGATGGACAGTAAGAAAGAGAGAAACAAGGAAAGGAGAACATTAGTCCTGGAGAGCCAGCCTCTAACTAAGAACTCAACAAGAAAGGGAGGCCGCAAACTCAGGGCAAAAGAATACTTGGGAAATGACCATGCAGCCCTCTTCTTTGACACAAAATTAAGAAAATTACTCAGAACTGAAAGAAATGACTCCAAAGACCAACAGAGACCCACCACCTACCCAGAAAAATGACTGAAAAAAGACCCACATTAAAGCAAATCACTGAAATTTTAGAACTCAGAGTTTTAGCAGAAAATTCCTGAAATCTTCCCATAGAGAAAAAACAAGCTGCATGGAAAGGACTGAATCCGTATGTCATCGACATCCCTTTATGTGGCTCACAGCACGCCTCAACTATTTCCTGAAAGATCAGACCCTCCACAGCAATACTGGGAACTACAAAATGACAGAGCACTGCTGCTGCTTTCAAAACTGCGAGTCAATCAAATGTGAGGGTAGAATAAGATATTTCCAGATTTAAATGCCTCTCAAAATTTACCTCCTATTCACTTCGTTTAAGGAATCTACTAGAGGATATGATTTAGGAAAACAAATACAGGAAGAAGTCATGGGGTGCAGGAGCAAAGGACCTGACTCGGTAAGTGGTGAAGGACATTCCCAGGATGACGTGTGTGTACCCAACACATAGAGGAGTTGGCCCTGCCCGGATGGAGGGATCAGCACAGAAGCTGCTGGAAACAACACGGAACTGATAAAACAGCACTGGACCATGTGGAAAACCCTACTGAGAGGTATCTGAAGGATGTGAGAAAGACTGGTGATAGTTACATAAAAATCCAAGCGCACAAAAGAACAAAGCAACTATTACTTATAGGAAAAATAATTATACAATTTAGGGGAAACTAATCAAAGTACACTACTTAGCTAAGCAGGCAACAATAGTTACTAGTCATAATAATAGAAGCACGGAATCTGATTTCATCAAATGTTGTGGCATATGTGTTTGTGAAGACAGGAGAGAAGGTGGAATAGTGAATGTAAGAAACGTAAGATTTAAATCCTTACCTCCATAATAGAAAATTAATAAAGTACAATACTGAGAAGTCAAAACATTGCCATATGAGCACATTATTTAGAACTCTGGTGGTAAGGGCGTCGGGGTGGCTCAGTGGGTTAAGTGTCTGATTTTGGCTCAGGTCATGATCTCACGGTTCGTGGGTTCGAGCCCCATGTCGGGCTCGGCACTGACAATGTGGAGTCTGCTTGGGGTTCTCTGTCTCCCTCTCTCTCTGCCCCTTCCCTGCTCGCACTCTGTCTCCCTATGTCTCTCAAAAATAAATAAACATTGAAAAAAAAATCTGGTGGTAAATATCAGGAGAAACAACTGAGAGGGAACATGGTTGTCTCAGCATAGCAAAGAGATGGCAGGGGCTGGAGCTGTCATGTGTCATCAGGACTCTTCCAAAAATACTTCTTTTTAAAAAATACATTGTGTGCAGACGAAAATTTTTAAAAAAGGTAACTAACAAGATGTCTAATATCTCATAAGGCTATTCTTACTCTCTTCCTCCTATCTCCTGCCATTAGTTAGCAATACTCTTCGGCCATATCTGAGCCTTCTTTTGACTCCAGTGGAGGATCCACATGATGTGAGGAATGCAAACTCATGCTTTATAGCTAACAGCTCCCAGACATTCAGAGAATGGGGTAAAACTAACCAGGAAGCAAACCACGGTTCTCAAAGTGTGTACCAGTAAAATCAGCATTAGCAGGGAATTCGTTAGAAATGCAAATTCTTGGCCTCCGCCCCAGATCTACTCATTCAGAGACACCAGGGTGGGCTGCCCTACTCTTTCTATGTATTTTGATAGCTTATTTATAATAATGCCTGGATGCCTAAAATCAGCTTCAATTAACTCCATGATTAAATAAGTCAAACTATGCCAAGTATAATAGAAGGTAAATAGAGAAGTGTTTAACTGATAAAAGATATTACTTACAGCTTTTTTATCAGGTTGGCTATCATCGTAGCCGGTTGTCAGGTCTCTAATACCAGAAATTGCGAATCTGCCACAAGTTTTTGGATAATTATTCTTCCCATCGTAGTTTCTAAGGTTTTCAAATAATTGTTTAATGGTGCCTTGATCATGGCAAATAAAATATGAAGCTTTGGTAATATGGTAGCCATACCTATGGAAACAAACACAAACCATTTTAGAAATTAAATAAAAAATTTATTAGAATAAAATAAGTAAAATACAGCATGGTGATTATATTTAATAATATTACACTATATGTTTGAAAGTTGCTAAGAGCATAGATCTTGCAAGTTCTCATCATAAGAAGAAATATTTGTAATTATGTGTGGTGCGACTGTTAACTAGATGTACTGTGATGATCAGTTTGTAATATATACAAATACTGAAACACTATATTGAATACCTGAAACTAATGTCAGTTATATCTCAGTTAAGGAAATACAAATATGCAAAATGAGGAAGACATAATTCCACACAGTGTACATTTGTCAACCAGTATATTTTAAACCAAATGAAACAAATGCCATGAGTACCTTCAAAGGAATAATTTAGCATAAAAAAGAGGTACAACAATTGACCCTGGGGATTGCCAAACTGCTGCCTGGCCTTTAGCCTGTATTTGTAAGTAAGAGTCTTACTGCAACGTGTTGCCACGGGCTGCTTTTGCACTTTATAAAGGCAGACCTGGGTCATTGCTCTAAAAACTTAATAGAGATTTCATGAACACCTTTAATCTTTTTTGACATCACACACTTAAAATCACATTCTTCAATTAGCTATTTCTGCAACTGATGCCCTCATTTGTTAAGGATTCGTGCGATTATGAATGATAATTACCATTACATGGTTAAGTATCAAAAGAAAAGATGATTCTTTATTTAGTTTCATAAGAAATAGAATTCATGGGGCGCGTGGGTGGCTCAATCGGTTGAGTGTCCGACTTCAGCTCAGGTCATGATCTCACGGTTTGTGAGTTTAAGCCCCACGTGGAGCTCTGTGCTGACAGCTCAGAGCCTGGAGCTTGCTTTGGATTCTGTATCTCCCTCTCTCTCTGCCCCTCCCCTGCTCATACTCCATCTCTCTCTCTCTCAAAAATAAATAAACATTAAAAAAAGAAAAAGAAATAGAATTCATAACCAAAGAGCATTAGAAAGAATATTAGTATCTCACACGTAGAACCATAAGAAAATATTTAACACTATTACTTCAATTAAACAGAATTAATAGACACTTACTCAACATAGATGGCCTTTAGCTGCTGAGACAAAGTCAAATTCTTGGTTGCTAGAAAGCTAGCCAACTCTGCGCTTATGACAGCAGCACTGACCCCATCTTTGTCCAGAACAAAAGGGCAGCACATATATCCTGCAGAGAAACACACGTCATACACACACGCTTAGGAGTGAGTTCCTTTACAACACTGTACATGCACACACCTATATGCAACTTGCCCATCTCATAAGAGGTTGTACAATATGAATACGTGAATGCTTCCCATTTACCATTTTTTTTTAAAAAATTAAAAAAAAATTTAATGTTTATATTTGAGACAGAGAGAGAGAGACAACCACAGCATGAGTTGGGGGAGGGGCAGAGAGAGAAGGAGACACAGAATCCAAAGCAGGCTCCAGGCTCTGAGCTGTCAGCACAGAGTCCGATGCGGGGCTCAAACACAAACCACGAGATCATGACCTGAGCAGAAGTCGGACGCTTAAACAACTAAGCCACCCAGGCGCCCCTCATTTATCATTTTTATATTCGAGAATCCAGGCCAATTTCTAGTGCATAGCAGGCCTTCAAGATGTACTGGTTGAATAACCTATAAGGAGACTCTCCCTCCTAGATCAACTGTTCATTCCCTAGGTCCAGCCCCAACTCCTTCAGCTCACACAAAATAGTTTCCAGGTGCTCTAGTCAATGCTTCTTCTGTCTTCTCTGAGTTCCAATAGTTCTTGTGAGTTACATCCTTCACCTTGACACCTAGCCTATGCTCTCTTGTGTGGTTACTAACTAGATCGATGCAAAGTGCTATAGACTGAGGTCAGTGTTCATCCATTGCTTAACTGATATGCAATAAATATTTGAAGAAAACATTTTTTTAATAAAAAGCTATAGAAAGAGAAGACTGACATTTGTGACGAAAGGGCAAAAGCTGAGCTATTATTAATTTGTTAAATAATATGTGAGCGTCTGTGCTGCAGGGAACAGGTGAATCTTCTTATATAATAAGTATAAGGTATAATAGCTTTTACTAAACATGTAGCTAAAATATCCCTCACATAAACATCTGAATTTCAAGTTTCTACACCTAGCTCCCCTTTTTCTTACGTAAACTGACGAGCGTTTCCCAGTCATTCTGACTTGACTCGGGCTGTCCTTTTGGGTGACAGTCACTTTGATGAAAGCCCTACAACCAGGCCTTGTCTCTTCCTCTGGACAGACGTCTGCCCAGCATTTTTAGAACAGGAGTGAACCATATCAGACCTGGAGATCAACACCACAGTTGAGGAAATACCACAACTCCCCCAAATACATGATTCCTGAGCTACGAGCATTCATGGGCAGAACATCACTGTTTTCAGTCATCCAGGGAAAGGATTCACTTTCTTATATTAATGGCTTGGCTTTTAAAGAGATATTCTTTTCAGCTGAAAGCATGTCTGAGATGCCAATTTTGGGGTAGGATAGTTCAGTGCTCTTTGAGCGCTGGTGTGTTCCTGTTCTACTGTTAATTTTCTGAACCCAAATCCAAATCCCATTTATTTGCATTCTATACATTAACTAATGCTACAATCACTATTATCGCTTCTTACCGATAGCTTCTTCAAATGCAAATAAGACATTCTTCCCCTGGTCTATTAGCTGTCTGGCTCGGTTTCCCATCCACTTAAAGCCAGTTAGTGTTTCCTAAAGGGATAACCCAAAAGAGAAAGAAATGCCTTAGACCTCCTACAGAGCAAAAGAAATTTAAGAGCGAGTCCCAGAAACACCTTACCTCAAAGTGAAAGCCCTCCTTTAAGGCAATGGCTCGCAAGATTTTGGAGGAGACCGTGCTGGACAACATGTATATGTCTTTGAGGGCACTGTGATCTTGGTTCTTTTCTTTCCAAGAAGTAAAAAGCCACCAGCCCAAGAGGGCCCCCAACTCATTGCCTGAAAACACTCTCCATTCACCGCTGAAAGAAAGAACGACCAATGCATTGCTGTGATCTTAAGAGAGACACTGAAGTGACTGGGACGGGACAATTAAGCCAAATGAGGCCCAAAGTGGTTTCTATAAGAGTGGTCTTGTCACTCTTGCTTAAATAACTGCTCGAAAAAGTGTCACTTCACCACAAACATCTGAGCAGCTACTCTGTCTCAATCAGTTTGCTCCAACATCCATCTTTGAAGAGCGACGACACATAACACGTTTATTTGTCTTTGTCAAAGGGTTTGGCTTTAAAGATGACAGAAATATGCTGCCCCTCCCTTCCTCCCCTGCCCCCCACAGGATTATAGTGTGTGAATCTCAATTTTCGGTCTGGTCAGTATTGAGGTTCTGGGAGGTCAATATCCTAGTGTGTCTTAAGAGTGAGTTTGCACTAAAATGGTCAGGACACCACAGAACAGACGTGTGATTCATTTTCCTCTCTGTAGTCGGGTGGCTAGCAGTACATCTTGCGTTTTAGCATGTACCATGCTTAACTTTCTAGAAAGTGATTAGAATTAAACCTGCTTGCTCGCTGCTCCCAAAACATCACGTGTGCCGTTTGACCTCCAAAACTGCTTGGACCCTGCCTGCTTTTCATCTTTCCCGTCCACTTACGTCCTATTCCTCTGCACAAACTCTATGGGCAAACTTGTCTTAAACACTGGGTACCCCAGTGCTATTCCTCTCTGGTCCGCTCGACCTGAATTCAACGTTTCCTTGAAGGTACAGCTACTTCAGCAAACCCTTCAGTAAATACTGACCTGTAAATCCAGCATCAAACAAAGTACTTGCCTGCATTAGAAACTGAGTCATTAATTATAAAATTGACGATGAAACGAGAGAAGAGAAATAGTAATTTCAATTCCAAATACACCCTGGGCTGTTTACTCTGCCTTCTGCTCGCCAATCATCATGTGGGCCCCAGAACTGCATTTTGCTGTATGTTAGAGGTTCAGTGACAGGAAGTTCCGTGAGGTGATGATGTGTACAATGAACAGTAAATATTTCCAGGAGCAGTTAACTGCTCAAGATGTCACCCGTTATGTTTGCTACTACATAGGTAATCCCAACCAATTGTACCTGTCCTGCTTTTCTGCCACAGCGAGTCTATCAGCATCCGGGTCGTTTGCTAAAATGATTCTGGCCTTGGTTTTGTCAGCCAAGGCAAAAGATAAGGTCTGAAAAAGTAGGAAAAGAAAAGATTATTTCAGTCAAGAACTGAGCATATTGCCGTCTTTAAAAACATTCAGTTCTTGAGGAACTAAAAAAACTTTCCCCAAACGAAGGCTGAGTTTTATTTCTGGAGCTGGTCTTGGCTGATCACGAATTACTTCCTAAGCCAAAGGTCAGATAATGGGAACATCAACACACGACCCACACCTGCCCGTGGGGTTCACCTCACATTTAATAGCGTATGTGTGGCTGGACTGATGTTTCTAGGCTTTGCCAAGTGATCGACCTCAAAACAAACCAAAGTAAGCCAATTTGCTGAATATCACTGTTAACCTTTAAAAAGGCTAAAAGCGGGGTGCCAGTGTGGCTCAGTCGGTTGAGCATCTGACTTCAGCTCAGGTCATGATCTCATGGTTCATAGGTTCGAGCCCCACATTGGGCTCTGTGCTGACAGCTCAGAGCCTGGAGCCTGTTTCAGATTCTGTGTCTACCTCTCTCTCTGCCCCTCCCCTGCTCTTGCTCTGTCTCTCTCTGTTCCTCAAAAATGAATAAATGTTAAAAAACTAAATTAAAAAAAAGGATAAAGGAACCATGATTTAAATAATTCTGCTTCATATTAGGAAAATTCCAGAATAAAAATATTAAGGAATAAAAAACATGTGATAAATATTCATTCCATTACTGTTTCTTTTTAACATTAAAAAATCAGGGTAAACTAAATTTTAACTTCATTAATTCAATTCAATTTAAAATATCATTTCAATTTCAGCTCTCACATCCTGATGCTAAGATATGTGTTTTGAAGGTTCCTATAAGAAATGGATGACTAATAGATATAAATATTTCTCATGATAAAGTTGGTTTTTTTGTTTAGCACAATGAAAACACATAAAAAGGGGTGCCCTGGGTGGCTCAGTTGGTTAAGTGTTCACTCATGGTTTCGGCTCAGGTCATGGTCTCATGGTTTGTGAGTTCAAGTCCTGTGCCAGGCTCTGTGCTGGCAGCGTGGAGCCTGTTTGGGGATTCTCCCTTTCTCTCTCTCTTTCTCTCTCTCTCTCTCTGCCCCCCGCCCCCACTCACTCTCTCTGTCTCTTAAATAAATAAAACTTTACAAAACTAAAAAAAATACATAAAAATTATTTTACTTGATAGTAAGAAGTTTCAATATAAGAGGTAAGTTTTAGGACAAAAAAGATTAGGTTACCAAGACTCCTTTACCCTCTTCAGGATTCGGGTATTTCACTGTTGGGAACTCAGGATCGGGATCTTTCTGTTCAGGAACAGCCTCAGGAGGAGCAAAGTCAAAAGCCTTGAAAGCCGACTGCACAAAGTCATGACCCACGCCGTGGACAGAGGTGTGCACAAACTTCACCTTGGTCTCCCTGTTCACACTCCTGGGATTAAACACATGATGGGAAAGGATAAAATATAGATAAAATATTTAAATATGGCTTGCAAAACTAGAAACTTTGCTATTAAGGAACCAGATTGCTAAGAAAGGAAGAAATCAATGTAATAAAGTTGTACAAGACAACTATCTAATTCCATTTAAAAAAAGAAGCAGGGTGCCTGGGTGGTTCAGACGGTTGAGTGTCCAACTCTTGATTTTGACTCAGGTCATGGCCTCACGGGGTTAAGGGATAGCCTGCATCAGGCTCTGTGCTGGCAGGAGCCTACCCTGGGGTCTCCCTCCCTCCCTGCCTCCCCTCCCACCCCCTGCCCTGTGCGTGCTCTCTCTCTCTCTCTCAAAATAAAGAGACATTAAAAAGTTTTTCAAAAGAGCAAAACTTTTCTTTCCCAAATATACCCTATATACTGCCTTAAATTTTACTCTGTAGTTGTACCAAATAATCTGATTACTTTTCAGAGTCTGTTTTATCGATAACTTTTACCTAGAGTAGGATTGAAGAAGAGAAGAACTCTGGGCTCAGGTTCCCAGGAGAGACTCAGCTGCTGGGTGGTGTCCACCTGTGTGTGGTCACTAGGGCCTCAGTTCAAAGTATAACTAACTTCAAATGGTTTCAAAATGTCCTTTTAACAATGATGGAACATATATCTTATATAGGGATGTATAAATGTTTTTCTTTGTCAAGTAACAATCCTATTGGTCAAACTGCACATCAGGAGACTTAAAATAGAATAACAGTAAATATCAAAAGTAAAAGGCTAATAGAAAGGTAAAAATAAGACAGAAAAATTCCAAGTGTGTTGAGCTACACTGGAATCTTAGGTTATTGTCCATTTTCTTTAAGTGAATAAATACACGAGGTCTTCTGGTAAGAAATAAAATACGTCCAGAAAATAAATATGCTTTAAAGACTAGTGAGAACAAACCTGCTGAAAAATCCTCTCAGATATTAGAGTGAATTATAAAGCTATCGCATAATTGCAGAAGGTTTAGAACTAGATATAAAAAGGCGAATTAGAGAAGGAGAACAGAATAGAGAGCAGAAGTAAATTAATTTGACACATAGAAAATATGAGAAGCTTCATCCTTAACATGCTTTGGAGGCCAGGAGCTCTGTTAGGGCTCTGCCACTTATAAGCTACTGTGTGATTGTTGGTTATTAACTTAACCTCTCTGTGTCTAAGTTTTTTTCATCTATAAAATGATTACACCTGAACCACCCTCGGCATTACTGTGATTAAATGAGATTAAATTAATTGCTAGGGAAGTAGAAGAAGAAGGAACAAGTTGTCTATATAAGCACTCAATTTTTGTTATTTCATAGAGTAAGCCTGGGTGTCTCAGTCAGTTAACATCGAGCTCTTGATTTCAGCTCATGTCTCATGGTGATCTCAAGATTTAGGTGAGTTCAGAAACTTCCTCATGTGGACTCCGTGCTGAGGATGCAGGGCCTGCTGGGGTTCTCCTCTCCCAGCCCTCCCCACTGGTGTATGCCCTCTTTTCTCTCTCCAAATAAATAAACTTCAAAAAAAAAAAAAAGAAAATTATTTGATAAGGTGATATTTCCAATTAAAAAGAAGTGTAGCTTTTGGGGAAAAAGCCTGGGTGGCACAGTGAGTTAGCGATCTGACTTCAGCCCAGGTCGCGATCTAAGCAGTTCGTGTGAGTTGAGCCCCTTTGTCAGGGAAGCTCTGAGCTGATGTCAGAGCCTGGAGCCTGTTTCGATTCCTGTCTCCCTCTCTCCTACCTGCCCCTCCCGTTCATGCTCTGTCTCTCTCTGTATAAAATAAATAAAAATTAAAAAAAAAAAGAACGGCTTTTAATTTCCAATTAAAAAGACAGATTCTTCAATTTAATGCATTGATATAACCACAAGGCAAAAAAAAAAAAAAAGCCCCAACTTTCTTTATTTGTATATAGGCGGCACAATTATAAATCACCAATCGAAAAGAAAAGATTTAAACATTATAAAATGTAAATATATATGCAAGTCCCAAGGGAAAAAGAGTTAAAAAATAATCTTGGTGTAGAAAGAGAGTCTTAAATCTGACATAAAATTCAAAGGAACTCATAAAAGTAAAATCCAACTTTTTTAATCAAATGCCAAATTTTATAAGATTTCATCCAAAAGTTTCAATAAAAAAGTCCAAAGAGTAACAAGAGCAGAATGGAAAACAATATTTGAAATAAATGAGAAGACTAGTTTTTCTATGTAAACAAAAGTTCACAGATACAAAAAATGAATAAATACATGAAAAATATAGAGCTAAATGAATATGAAAAAATAGTTTATTCATACTTAAAGAATCCAAATACAATATTATTACTTTTTTTTTTTAAGAAGACAGGAAGCATGATGCAAGTCAGGGGAGGGGCAGGGAGAGAGAAAAGACTTCATCAAATGGCGGCTCCATGCCACTGCAGTGCAGAGGAGCATAGAAACCCGACTCAACTCTCAGGACCAGGAGATGTTGACTGAGCCAAATCAGAAGTTGGACACTTAACTGAGTCACCCGGCCCCCAGACACTCCTTTCATCTGGCAGAATAGAAAAGTTGATAATAACTCAGTATAGGTAGATATTGGATCATACACTGCTGAATATAGATATATTCCATCATTGTATTTGATATTGTTGTAGTGACGTTGGTGGGGTGTCGCTAACATTTCTGAAGTAAATTTATTAATCGTGCCAACTTTGTAAATGCTGCGCATTACAGCAGCTGATGCAGAATGTCTCTGTGTAGGCACTGCGCTTACAGAAATTACTTTTTTAGTTCTCAGGAACTGTGCCCGGTGATGCTGCCCCCAGTGCTCTGGAAGTATAACAAACAACTTTCAGAACCCTTACCCTGAACTGCATATTTGCAAATATTCGCCAGTATTTAAAAATGAGGGGTATTTCACGAAATTTGGGATTTCCTGTTTCTCTTCACATGAGGGCAGTCAGATCCAGGCAGGCGGCTCTGGAACTTCCATTTGCACATACTACTTAAGCCTGTAGACCACTCCTTCATGCAACTGTCCAGTGGTCCAACAAATACAACCAGGGCAGTCTAGAAATTATGTAGCTACTTTAAAACCAGTGCTTTCTTGCTGGAGGACAGTCAGCAGTGGTGGGATTACAACGTATACAGAAGGACCACATGGTTGCATGGTCTGCTTCTTACCTAACTGTAAATTATCAAGTCTCTCCTATGAACTGGGTTTAATCAATGTGTACAGCATCCCTGCCTGCAGCAGAGGGAGGTCAGGACTGACTGGGGAGACTGGGGGTATCCATATGACAGCACTGGGGGAGAACTGCTTGGGAACAAACCGCATATAGCATTATATTCCTGTTTGGTTTTGCAGCTTACTACACCACAATATTATGCTAGCATAGGCACAGAAAATTTGGAAAGATGAAAACATCCTGGTGTTTTACTTTAAACCCATGTTTTTGTAAGTTTTTTTTTTTTTTTTTTACATACATATACACATATGCCGCACTCACATGCATATATACACGCATGTCATCGCAGTTCTACTACGAGGTCACTGAAATGCGGTGACCAATATGTCAGCCACCTGCTGGCAATGTATTTTTTTTTAACGATCCCTGTTTGTTGTCATTCACTATGTTTCTTCTATAGCTGCTTTCCACCACACCACCATACTTGGTTGGGTGGCAATAATACAATGACTCCTGAGGGAGCCAACAAAATTATTATCTGTATGTGAAAAATGCAACCCCTGAGCCTATTTATCTAAAACCAGATACAGCTACACAGAAGATATATGAGTGAAGAGAAAAAAAGAGACATGAAAACTGATAGAACTTGGCTGAATCATTCGCCTCACTTGAGAATTGGTTACAATCCATTTACCATGTGAAAACAGTATTTTTCAGGTCTTCAAATGCCTTCTTGACCTGGAAAGCTTGCCCAGGGGTCATGAAGCAGTGGCTTTGCCATTAGTAAAGAATCATCCCAAAGAAAGCTTGAGGCCATGGCTCTAGATTTTCCTTCAATAACTTGAGAAATCACTTGCTATGCTACAAGGGAGGGAGGAGTGATCTGAGCTCAGTTGTCCCCAGTAGACCTGGAGGATGTAGGAACATATCGAATATATGCAGCGGTGGTCAATGAGTAAAACATCTGTTACCTATGCCGTGAAAGTATGGGATGCACATAGAAAGGATACAGGTGTGGAAAGAAAAAAAAAAAAAATAAGATGAGCCAGCGTAACCGTTATCTTTAGCGCTTTTTGGTTATGGGAGGCGATTCTCATGATTTCAGAGTTTCAAATGCAGCACTGTGTGGGGCTGTGCGGGCAGAAAAAAGAACGTTTCGAAACGGATATACTTGGTGTGTTTGTTGTATGTTATTTGACATCAATGTTTCCTTTAATATAAACATAAATAACGCATCATTCCAACTCATTTCACATTACCACACCAAAATGCCACTTACATTTCGCAACCAACTCCGCGACTCACAGAAACTCAGGATGGGCACCCCTAACGAGCCGCGATGAGGGGATTTTCCCTAGGTGCCAGCCTTCTTCTCCTGTCTTTATCCTTGAGTAGGCGAGAATAACTGTGTATTTTCCAGGCTGTAATCTTTCATTTCACATTCTTTTAAGCCTTCACGGTACAAGCGTCTGGATTCAATTTCTCCCCTCAATGGCTTTCTCTTCTTTTCCCATTTTGAAGTAGTCTTGGTGAGGGGCTGGTAAAAATACAAGAAGGATTTTCCCAACAGGTAGGACATAGAGTACGGAGCAGTCTCCATTTCCTCCGTTTACAAAAGCAAATGGAAGAAGACCTTTTTTGTTTGGGAGAACATTGTCTCGCTACCAAGTGGAGAAGACAGGCACACTGGAAAATCCCCGTGCCTTGTTGGGGTGCCCATCTGATTTGAGCCTTCCAGTTGTGGCGCTTTAAAGGAAAGTAAGTGGTGCTTTAAGAAAGATAATCTACTATGTTTATGTCAAAAGTGATAAA